TGATCCTGACACAATGGCCTCTCTATGTACCTATTTGTTGAAAGAATGAGCAGTGTTGAAGCCAGGGATTTAGCTCAGTGGCACTGAGCCTGCCTTGCAAGTGCAAGGTCCTGAGTTCAATCCCCAATACAAAAAAAAAGGAATGAGCAGTGCTGAATAGAGCTCTCCTGGGCCCCTCACTGAGTGCAATGCCTGCCTTAGTGCTGGCCTAGTGCTTATCAATACCTAAACACAGGAGAGCAGGGATCGCTGGCCTTTCCAGTCTGGGAGTTTAATGTTTTTTAAATCAGAATTCTGCACTCACTACTATTAACAATACCTTACTTTTTAAAAATAACATTTTAAAGGCCAAAAGTACAGTGCTTCTACTTATAATAGCAAAAAACTGGAAAGAGTCCAAATGTCCTTAATAGGGGACTGGTTGAATAGTCTGTGCACGAGTATAAAGAAATAAGGGAGATCTCTACACTCTGCCAGTCAGAGTGATCTTCAGGGCCTAAGATAAATTCAGAATAGCATGTATTTAAGAAAGACAAGGATACCATCAATTAACAAAAATGTACTTTAAAAATCTGAAACTATTAGTATGTCAGATTAATACTTTTATTTTGAACATACACATAATTGTGTGATAGCCCTAGGAATAAAGATTTTCTGCACAGAGAAAACAAACACAAAAACTCTTTTTGCCTAGTGGTCCATTTCTGGAATGGCACATAAATAATGGAACATAATAAAAATTTTTCTCTTCAAATTCTTCTTCCTTTTACTTTTCCAAGTAACATATACAAATTTCATCCAAAAATCCAAAACACTGCAACCCTCAGCGTAAGTGGGTCAAATGAAATAACTTCAGTAAAAACCTCATAATCTTAGATTTAGACTGGAAAGATCAATATGAATTCATGAGGCATTTTCCTCTTCCTGGGTCTCTCCACTGAAAAGGTCTAGAGCAGTGGTGGTGAACCTATGGCACACATGTCGAAGCAGGCTGTTTGTATCTCTGAAAGCTCCAAAGGTTAGCCATCACTGGCCTAGAGCCAGCAGTGATGATATCCCAAACACCCAGTTTGTGCTTTTAATATAGCTATCCCATTTTCCACCAAAAGAGATCTGGGTTCCCTGGAGAGATGGCCAACTCCAGGCCATTAGAGAACATATAAGTGTTGAGCCCTGGACATCTCTTAGGTTAGAAAGCAAAGAAGCTATTAAAGATGACTAGGTCATGGCAAAAGCAGACAGACACCAACTCAACTAGGCTCCCATTAGCCAAAGATGGGGCAATTTCAGTATTAGAAAAATACTATCCACAATGGGTTGAAATATAAATATGTTAAGAATTCACGAGTTCATAATAAAACAAAAAAAAAGCTCGTAAAAAAAGCTCATAATAGTCACCTTTAGAAGTTGGTAGGATTGCAACTCATTATTGTAAAAAAAAAGACAAAAGGAATGAATCCAGCATTCATCCTGTCATTTCCTGCCTGAGTTATATTTCAGGGTATTCTAAGAGTTCTTTATAGAATAACTGATGCTTAAAAAATATAGGAAGAGCAGGGGATGTAGCTCAATGCCACCACGCCAGCCTGGCAAGCACAAGGTTGAGTTCGATCCCCAGTATGGCAAAAAAAAATAGGAAGAGTGATAAAATTAGAATATAACAATTTTCCAACTTCAATGAAATAATAGATTAAGCACTGAACATAAATGGCTGCAAAAATCGTTATGTAAAAGGCTGATGGATGGGCAGCTTCCTAACGGATGAGCGAGGCTACAAAAATATAAACCTACTGATCAATCTTAGTATCACTGAAAGAGAAAACTGGCTAGCACATTCTCCTGAGATGATTTAACAGCAAATGCACCACACTCCCAACAAGGCATTTTCACCAAAAATAATAATAATAATAATAATAATTAGACGTGACTCTAATCAGTTCTCTAGATCTAATGACCAGCTTACAGAAAATACTGGGAGAAGCATGTTGAATGACACCATGAAGTGCAGGGTGGCTCAGTGGTGCTGCTGCCTGCCTCCCAAATACAAGGTCCCGAGTCTCATCCCCAGCACCAAAAAAAAAAAAAAAAATGACACCATGAAGAAAAAAAAAAGGTAAAACAAAACCAAAAAACTACCATGAAGATTTGTTGGAAAATGTCTTGTGGACAAATGCCCAGTTTCCTCAAACAAATAACAGAAACAAAGCAGAAGAGGAGGGAGAAAAACTATTTTACATTAAAGAGATATCTAATGTAAACTATTTTACATTAAGAGATATATATCTACAAAATGCAATGTGCATCCTGACTTCTTTCGGATCCTGACTTGAGCAAACCAACTGTAAAAAGCCATTTCTGAGACATCTTGGAAAAGCTGTATATTGACTTCTAGTTAAATGATATAAAGAATTATAGTTAATTTCGTTATGCCTAATAACAGTGTTCAAAATTTAGTATTTTATAAAGGCACTTCTACATACACTACCGATGCTAGATACTCAGAGAATGTACAATAAATACTAAATGACAAGAGTAACAGCCCAGGTAAACCTTCAATTGTAAACCTCCCAAAATAAAATAAACCTTTGACCTGATATTAGAGGCCACTGTACTCCCTTACCACCAGCCCCAGTCATAACTCCAAACAAACTGGATCATTTCCAGTTTTCTGCACACATCTTGCTTTTTTTTTTTTACAGACCTTTGAAGACCCTAGAATCCCTCTCCATTATCTCTATTCATCCAAATCCTACCATCTTAAAACCCATCCCAAAAGTTAGGTCCTGCATAAAGCTTTGAATTTTCCATTAGAAGTTATTATCCCTGTGACATCTATAACATCTTACCTTGTACTGTTATTTTTTCAGGCTTGTTCAAGCAACACATTGTTATGTACTTATTATTGCTCTGTACATCCAGCAAATACTCATGGAACACTTACTGTATTTTAGACCTGTGCTAGAAGCTAAGTATGAGGTATGATCAAAAAAATATGGCAAATTTGAAAAAATTTATTTACAGTAAGACACATTGACGTTAATCCCCTTCACAATTTTTCCCTTCACTTCAAACACCCTTATTTCATCATTCTTCCCATTTCTTCAAGCAGTTCTGGAAATCCTCTTTCATGAGTATCTTTAGTTGTGCTATCATGGCTGCCTTGATGTCTTGAATTGATACAAAGCTTTTATCTTTCATGGTCATTTTTACTTTAAGAGCCCAAAGTCCCATAGTGCTAGATCCAGTGACTAACATAAAGACACACCATAATGTTTTTATGAGCCTGGCTTTCTGTTAGATGGCAGCAGCACTCACCAAATTTTTTATCACACCACGCAAACATTCACAAATGAGAACTTCCAGAACTGCTTAAGAAAGCAGCAAAAAGGGGCCAGGGATTTAGCTCAGTGGTTCCACCGCCTGCCTCAAAAGTGCAAGGTCCCGAGTTCAATCCCCAGTACCAAAAACAAAACAAAACCAAAAAAAAAGAAAGTACCAAAAAGGATGGGATAAGTATATTTAAAGCAAAGGGAAGTATTTTGAGAGATTAATGACAGTATGTCTTTTACTGTGATAAAAATTTTTAATTTACACACATTCACAGTATATTTCTATCACACAGTGTATGCTACAATGAATACTGTCCCTGGTCTTGCTGAAGTTAGTCTAGTAAATACTACAATTACACTATCCACATAAGAGATTATACACAAAAATGAAAAGTGTTACAAAAAGAGAAATGTAAGAGCTAAAACAGGATGTAACAAGGGGTTGTTAAATTAAATTTAAACTAAGAATCCCTGTGCACTTGTATCCTTAAGTGGCAAACTACAACCAGGCTTGCCTAGATCAACTGAAACCTGGTGTCAGGATAAGAAAATATTCTTGCAACAAATAGTTAGGTCTTAGGAAATCACAGCAGCTGAGGTCAGTCAACTACAGCAGGCCAGCTGACTCAAGGCAAAATACCAAGCTATAATCAATTAAGCTGTCCCTGTACCTCATTTCCATTTTCTAAGGAAAATGTTGTCTGACCACATTACAGCCCACAAGTTGAACTTGTTCTGGTTCTGAGACCACTTGATTCTAGAATCGTGAATAAAAGCCAATTAAGGCCAGCTGCAGTGATGCACGTCCGTAATCCAAGCTGCTCAGAAGGATGAGAAGGATCTCAAGGTCAGCCTTGGCAATTTAGCAAGAACTTGCCCCAAAATAAAAAATGGCTGGGATGTAACTCAGCGATACAGTGTTTGCTTAGCGTGCACAAGGCACTGCGTTAAATCCCCAGTACTAACAAAAAACCACCTAAATTAGAATCTTTAAATTTGTCCTAATTTTGTCACCACATAAAATGTATGGTTTAGGATTAACTAATTTTTAAATGAATTCACTACTTCAATCATGCACCCCTTTTGAGATGTCTGAGGCTGAAACAAAATGAGCAATGCCGCAAACTGGCACACAGTAAATCCTTAAGAAAAAATATTTCGTTCTTTTCACTACGTGCTGTGCCCATCAGGTAAGAAACTGACTTGGTTTTGGAGCCTAATCCTTAGCAGTAGGCGGGCCAAAAGATAGGAACCTAATGAACATTTCAGAAATAAGTGAAACAGAAGTTAGAAATACGAAATAAAAACATGCAGTATTTTCATCAGGTGTCACTTTTAATGTGCAATACCATTATTTTCCTATTAAAGGTAAAGTGAGGCTTGGGCAAAAGGATGGGGTCCGATAATATGGTAAACTCTTAGCTCGAGTTCCAAGGACCCTTCTCCGTCTTTCTTCTCCCCGCCCCAAGCCGTTCAACCCTACTCCCAGAAGGAGCGCTTGTGTCCCACACCCGAAGGAGGCCCGCAGTCCTTCCCACAAGGCTTTGCAGCGCCGCAGAGAACCCTGGGATACAAAGAAATAAACAAATTCACGGCAACGGCCCAGACCTAGACTAGAGAAACCGCCATAAACCTCGCCGTATGCGTTCTTTGGCCATTTTGTATGCTTACCTTTCCTAGAGCCCCCACTTCCGGGGGCCTCACCAACGCCCGCAAACGCTGGGAACAGCGCCATGATCACGGGCCTCGACGCCGTTCCTCTCCACGGAAATGGCGCCAGCCAGCGACCGCCGATTGTCGGCCTTTGGTGTCGCGGTGCACGTCGGGAAGTGTGGTTTTCTTGGCGCTTCCTGGGGTTTGACCAGGGGCGGGGAGGGAAAATAAGGAGTGGACCCGAGGGGCGGGGCGCGAGGGGCGGGGCGGACGAGGTGGGCTTCCTGGTGGTTGGTACCCTCAGGCCTTTGTGAGAACCGGAATTGCAGGCAATGGCCAATGGAACTGTTCAAAAGTAGAAAGGGTTTAGGAAATTGGAATTCCAATTCCACTCGTAACCTCATACCGTCATTTGTTCATTTTTCACTAGGTGAAATTAATCAAATGCTCGAAGCTTTAGTTTCCTCATCTGCAAGCTATTGAGAGGCTTAAGTGAACATATACATGGAGTGCTTAGCATTGGTTTTGCCCAGAAAATCATTTAATAAAAGTTATCTATTACGTGAGTTTTGACTACAAGTTCATCTTCAAACCATTTTTTTTTACAGGCAGTCATTTATTTTTACAAGCAGTCTTTATTTTTACGGTGCAAGCCATTTAAAATATCCCAGGATGGATGCAAAGTCCCATCAAGATCAAAGCTCTTTGGTAGAAAAATACATTCACCTGTCTATTCTTTTTTATTTTCTTTGAGACAAGGCATCACTATGTAGTTCAAGCTGTCCTTGAACTCACTACGTAGCCCAGGCTGGCCTGGAACTTACAGCCATCCTCCTGACTCAGCCTCTCCAGTGCTGGGATTACAGGTATGTGCCACTATGCCCTCCATACAGTATTCTTGAAAAAAGAAACAATCTAACCAAGCATGCTACTAGAAATAAGGGATTTTAAAAAATTTTTTAAAGACTTCACACCATCTAGAAAGCAATCCGCCAAATCCAGAATGTGAGAAATTACAGAAAAGTAAGAATCAGTTTATTCAACAAATCAATGGTGTTGAGAAGGTTGGAAATTGCAATAGATTAAAAGATTTTAGAGACAAATCAACCAAATGCAACCTCATGATTCTGATTGCTCTAATTATAAAAAGAGCCTTAGGGCCAGGGATTTAGCTCAGTGGTTTTGCCACCTGCTGTGCCAGCGCAAGGACCTGAGTTCGATCCCTGGTACCAAAAAAAAAAAAAAGCTTTTACTTTGGTGGAGGAGAGATAGTAGGGGGCTTGGTGCATGCTAACCCTGTCCCTAACCCCATCCTTAAAAGAACTTTTTAAAAGAACTTTTTAATAGAAGACAGAGAAATGAGGTGGATAGACTATTATATGATATCAAGTAATTCTTATTCACTCTGTTAGATATACTAATGGATTAATGGCACTGGGGTGTCTTTTTAAAGTTCCTGTATGTTAGAGACACATACTGAGGTATTTGCAAATGAAAATACATAAGTGGTGATATATTTCTTTGGATCCCAGGGAGCTCAATGATCTTTAGAGTTAGATAGGATACATTAGAGACCAAATATGCAAACCTAATCATCAAATCGAGGAACAGATGGACCCTTGAAAAGCTACACAATAATGTGAAGACTAGGATGTGTAAGTCATAATCAGCATGCTTCACACTTTCAAATCCCTGACTTTAAAAGGGACTTGCAAAAGAGGATTTAGAAAGATAGCACATGTGTAACCTTAAATCTCAGGTTCTACCAAAATCTCTGGCTGTAAATTATCTCAATTCTTTGGGAGAACATCTGCCTTCATGTAAGGAAACTGAGATGGTAGCCACCATCCTCAATGCTTCGTATCCTTCTATTCTGAAAAATAAGAATTGATATGGAAAGCTTAAATCTAAACCTTAATAATAGTGTTTCTGTAGTAAGAAGGAATCTGGGAATATTAGGTATTTAGTGTATTTACAAATGTGTAAGAGAATTTGGCATGAGACTCCTTATGAGAACAATTTAAATTGTGTAATCACATAACCAATCTAGATTGCTGGTTTAAAGTTGAAATCTTAATGAAGTTTAGGCAGTTTCAGGATATCTAACAAATCTAAAGTTTTCCATATTTGTTATAGGGGCTCTGTATCAACCTGGTTTTATTTTGGTACCAGGGATCGAAGTCAGGACTTTGCACTTGCAACACATGCTGCGGCACCACTGAGCTAAATCCCCGGCCCAGTTTTCTATATTTGTAACTGCAATTAATTAGCTTTATTGAGGATATTTGAAGGCTGACAGATTGTCAGGTAACTGAAGTACCTGAAAAGGAAATAAATATTAATTTGTAGATGTATATAAAATGTATGAGTGTGCTAAGCACAGGCCAGCAAACTTTTTCTTAAAGGAGTGCATTGTAAATATTTTAGGTTTTATGGATCAGAAGGTTCTATCATTGTATTGAGAAAGCAGTCATAGAGGATAAATATATAAATGAATATGTATGGCTATATTTCAGTAAAACTGTATTTACAAAAACAAGCCTACAGGCTGTAGTCTGCCAACTACAATACAGTTCAATATTATATGAGACTTTAATTAACTCCCTTATAAAATGAAACCAACATTGCTCAAGACTTCTTTAAAATTATTGCTAAAATTTAAACTTCAAATCAGGCATGGTGGCGCATACCTGTAATCCCAGCACTCAAGAGGCTGAGGCAAAAGGATTGCCATGAGTTTGAGGCCAGCTTGAGCTACATATTGAGTTCAAGGCCAGCCTAAACTACATAGCAAGACCCTGTCTCAAAAAACAAAGGGCCAGGGATTTAGCTCAGTAGTTCCGCCACTTGCCTTGAAAGTGCAATGTCCCAAGTTTGATCCCCGGTACCAAAAACAAAACAAAACAAAAAAACCAAACAAAAATGGTATGACATCTATCTTGATTCAAATTAATACATGAGAGAGTTAATGGATAGAGAGGTATGATAGAAACAAGATTGCCCTGGCTTGATAATTGTTGAAGCTGGGTTATTGTGTACATGGGGATTCATACACTATTGGGTCCTTTTTTTGGTTAAATATATTGAAATATTCCATAATGCAAAATTTTTAACCAATAATTAAAACATTTTCTTAAAAAACCCTAACAATAAAAAGGAACAAACCACTGATACATAAAACAACAAGATTGAACTTCAAAATCAATATACTGGGTAAACTAACCCAGACAAAGAGTACTGATGGTTTGATTTATTTATGCAAAATCCTAGAAAATGCAAATGAATGTACAGTGACAGAAAGCAGATCAGTGGTTGCCTAGCTGTGGGAACAGAGGGAGGGATGTTCTCCGGAGGGGGATGGGGAATCTTTTGGGGGTAATGGAAGTGTTCTGTGTCTTGATTATGGCAGTAGTTTCATAGGTGTATGACCATCTGATGTATTAAAAGCTTAAGAACAAGTGAGGGTTTTGAATTTGTCTTAATAAATGGATCTTTTCCTGAATAAACACATCAGATTGAGTAGAACATGTGGTCTCTGTGGCAACTATACTGAAAATTGAATTTTATACAATTTTCAGACATCACAAAATATTATTCCCCTGTCTACTTTTCCCCAACACTCATAAGCAAAAATACTATCCTTGATTCACAGGCCATAAAAACTGACAGTGGGCTGACTTGATCATAGCCATAGTTTTCTGGACCTCTAAAAACTTTTTACTGTTGACTAAACAAAAGTAAATTTTAAATGGTCTCTTTTCTACAAAGAAAACCACCTCTAAATTTACCACAATGCTGCTATTGATGCTGTTGTTTTATTATTACTATTCTTAACTTTGAACTGGGCATTTCTAGTGCATATGGCAGAGAATCCCAAAATAAACCAGAAATGATTTCAAATTTTTGTTTAGCTTTGTATGTAGCTTGCCTAAAGGAAGAGAATGCACAATTCAACCTTTTAGCATTTCTATTCTTTGTGGCAGAAATAACTCACTCCAAACATCTCTGGACACTGGTAAGAGTAAATCTTTTCTCTGAACCTGGAGGAAGAAAAGGAAGATACATGGAGAAGCAAAATAAAAGTACAAGCAAAAAACATGAAAACAAGTTTTGTTTTAGTTGCTGGGAGGTTGATGGTAGATGCAATGGAAAAGTGGTGGGCATGAATAATGGCTAAAAACTATAGAAAACAGCCTTTGTGTGATGTCAGAAGGAGACATGCTGTGAACAAAAGGGTTTCAGGAGGCTAAACACAAAGTAGGAGGTAGCAAGCACTTGTTTGTTGGCAAAATAGTGCCTACATAATTCCCACTCACTTTCAGACATGGATATTACATAAAGAAAAAAGACTAGGGGCCTGCGGATTTAGCTCAGTGGTGCCCTGCCTCCCTTGCAAGCACAAGATCCTGAGTTTGATCCCTAGTACCAAGAAAAAAGAAAGAAAGAAAAAAGAAAGAAAGAAAAAAGACTAGGTGGACATGTTGTTTTGCTTAATTAGTACCCTCTTTTCTCAATACGCAAGAAAGTCACGTCACTACAATGTGGCCTGGATGTCCCAGCCCCATCTGATATGTCACAGTAAGTATGTTGCCCAGCTTTGCCAATTCTTTAGTTGGTAGGTGCACCACCCAGGTCTGACCTAAGTCAGGCCAAGCCAAGTTCTTGTCCAGGAATTTTAGAACTAGAACTGAAAAAGCAAAAGCTCTTCATTCTTTGTGTGTCTGGGCTGAAGATGTAACAGCCCAGGAGGTGGCTGACAAGCAGAAGAAACCCACTTGTGTCAAGAGAAGGGAAAAACCAAACATGAGTCGGAGAGGTGAATCCCAAGGTTGTAGAACTCTACTGCTGGAACTCAGCCTCATTTCTATGCTTGAGTTCTTTCTGGGCAGCCAAAGAGCCTTTTTTTCCTGTTTCACTTTTTGTCACTTACACCCAAAAATATAGTACAAGAAGGATTGAGTGATGCCATTTCTACACTCAAGATCAAAATCCCAGAGCTTGGACTTGGTTCCAGTTAGTTTGAATGATGAATGAGACTTTTAAACTTGTCTGCCAAGAACACGGAACTGCCAACTTCCTTTCATCTTAAGCAGGAAGGAATCCACACTCACTATCTAAGGCAAACTGAAGAAACAGGTTTACCAGCTCATTCAATCTTAAGGAATTTTCTGGTAGTTTTATCAAGTC